GTCTCTTAAATTGCACACAGGCAAGTTGACTATCCAGAGAAGTACTAATCATAATATATTTTCAGCCCACATGCAGAACAGAGGCTTTGCAAGTTGATTGTTAATTCATATCAATGAAATTATATATTGCTCCATACTTCATTAAACACTCTGGTAAAAATACAGACCAGCTCCCAACACTCATTAATTTCAGAATACATTTTAGGTATTATTTAAGATGCAAAATAAAGTAACTTCCTTTCAACAATGACTAATTTAAGTGAAGCTCACAGATTGACTTCAAACTATTAACAATGGTGGCACATAATTTTTCCTCAGTCGTAAGGGTTGTGTTGCTTCCAAAGAAAAAAGCACCAAAAACTTAGCATAATATCCTATTGATTTACACAAAGAATTACACAAAAAGCGTCTTGTTGACTCACTGTCCATTACAGCTAGGAAAAAAAAAATTATCTTTTTTTTAAATGCAGAATGTGTTGTGCTTGCAGTTTACAATCAATGAATAGGACAGAGGTAATAACACATGACACTTTCTGCTGACATACTCATTCTGTATAATAATAAAACTCTGAGATAAGTTACAAATTGAAAATATAAAAATAAAAGGAAAATATTTCTTTTCCCATCACAGGTCATGGGAAAAAAAGGAATGAAATCAAGTATTCCTAATGTTTTGAAAGAAAGAATGGCTTGAAAGACAGAATGGCCTAAAATACCCTATTATTTGTAAAACGCCATTACAGTAGGTGAACTTTATCCTTAATATAATTGCCATCATTATCTAAGTTAGTTCTCTATTAGTGTAACAGCTATACAATGTGCTTCTAGTTTCTTCACTAAGAAAACTAAAAAACTGTAATGAAATACTAGTAACATTTTTTTCCAATATCAGTGCCAAATCTCTTAAAGAAATGTGCATAGAGGAAGTAAGTATCACCTAGCAATTTCTTTTGATATATCTTTGAGCTCAGGCCCCTATAGCTCCATATTACTCTGGTATTGTTCTTTGCAAATATTATTTTATGCAATATGTATACAACAAACACCTGGGTTGATATTAAATTTATATATTTTTTACATTTTATTGTGTGACTAAATTTAAATTTATTGCATGTAAACCATTATTCTGTGCTTTCTAAATTTTTTTGTATAATATGATTAGCTTATGTTTATGAAAAAGATTTGGTTATATAATTTTCAGTGACTCTAGGTTACTGGAACCCTTCCACTCCTATGATCTCATGCTGATCCTAACAGAAAAAAATAAGACAAAATCATGAGCAGTAAATGGGAAAAGTAAGCCCAAGAAGGTCAGATAGCAGATCCTAAGAGACGCATCCTTCAGACCAATGTTTATGGCCGCAGCTCCCATTTAACTGAATTTAATTTAATTTCAGACATTCTCATCTTTCACTTAAAAAATGTATTTTTAACATGTGCTTTCAGTGTTTTAGAACACAAACTGAGTACAATTTATGTTCTGACAGCTAAAATGATACTTCTGGCTATGTGCCATCCTTTGCACACATCCAAGAATGCTCCCAATGATTCTCTAGGAAACCCAAGAATGCTAATACTGCCCTAGCAGAGGATTTTGTGGCAAGTGAAAAAAATCCTGCACTGTCCTAACTAGACATATGAGGGTACATAATTTTTGGTAAATACTGCTGCTATTCCTGCTTATTCAGGGCAGCAAAAGAAGCAGTTCTATCACATTCTCTCAGATAAAGCAGGTAGGAGTTGTGATCACTTAAATGGAGCGTAAGAGCTGGGACACATGGACAGATTATGGGGATCACAAATAAATATAAATGCCTCAAGCCTCAAAACATTTTAATTGGAACTGATTATGTGTGCTTTGAGGAGTACCATCGTGATCCACAGGGTGTGTAACAGTATTCAAATGCTTAATGGCATTTATGTCTGAAGAGAGTGTTTCTCAATATCTACAGCAACGTAAATCTCAATTTCTAAAATTACAAATGTCTTTGAAAGGCTATAGTACAAATTTACCTGAAAGGAGGAGGTAGGAGAGAGAGAGTGTGCAATACTAAAAGATAAGTCTTAAAGATCAGTAGGCATACTCTATGAAGTAATGTGTAACATAAAGACATGGTTTGGAGTAAATGATGATTTACTCCTTTTTGAATTAACTAGTTCTACAGCCTTTGGGAGAGGTTATCCTCACGTTAAGCACATGACCACTTCTGTCTAAGACAGTTATTTGGGGTTTGTTTACTGAAATCGCAATTAATGAGGCCACAGATGCACAAAAGCCAGTGTATGCAGATCTCACCAGTCTTACAGGTAAGATCTTGCAGATCTCACCTGTCAAAGCAGCACCATACAAATTTAACTAAACTGCTTCCAGAGCCAGGCCATATCTGAAAGCAATGTAGCCACACTGCTGTGATAGGGGACCAAACGAATAATGAACAGAGCCAGCTTGATGTCTCGCTATGTTATTAGTAATGGGGGTCACAATGTGGTAAGTGACTGTGCAGTCCATTAGACTAGTCCGTTAGAACTTATCTGTGAGAGGGCTGGTGCTGCAGGCGCAACTGAATGGACACAGCTTGAGTTTGGCACTGTGTGGGAGCCAATCAGCCTTCCTGGGGCCTGGAGATCCCAGATATTACTGATCTTTAGAGATGGCGTGATGACTGCTTAGAGAGATGACAGCCACAGAAGGTACACTCCAATATCTGGGAGCAAGGAATGCAAAAGTAAGTTGAAATGTTTTTAAAGTATGATAGGTGGGCCAAACATCAAGGATAAAAGAAACTTTTTTTCCAGCAGTTACTTACTTCATTACCTTTCACTATGTATTACTTGCAGCTTCTTCAACAGTACAGTACTTTTTGCTCTGAGACAAGATGTTAACGTGGAAGGACTAATTCTGAAAGTTAAGAGAAAGTCAGTGCAGTGTTTCTCCATTTCAGAGCTCTCTTCCTGAAACAGGCTGCACCAATGACAATGCATGATACTCTGTGGAATATGTACTCACTGTATCTTCTTGCTGGAAGTGACACCTACTACAGGGAGCAGAAGACAGTATCTGAAATTTTAATTGCTACTTATGTGGAACATGCTGTTTGCGCTCTACACCTACAAGCTGACCAGTCAAAGCCAGTCAAGAAAAAAGAAAATCCATCAAAAAATAAAAGAGAAGAAAAAGGGCAATGAAAAGAAAAATTAAAAAGATGAAAAAAATCCTCAATGCTATAGTAATGAAAAAACTGTAATAAGGCAAGGAGAGGAGGCACAAAAAACAGACATGGGGAATCAACTCCAATATGAAAATACCTGATAATTGAAGATGAAACAAAAAAGTAAAATGAGATTAGACTGGGGGAAGGAAGTCTAATGAGACTGTAGAGCCCTGAGGAAAAGATGAGTAACAACTGTAAAGAAAATGAGAAACAGGATGTTATGCATCAAAGACTTATCCAAAGTTAAGAAGATTAAATATAAATTATCTCAGTGCTCAGTTTAGTTTCTGGTGTGAAGAAACTTTTTTTTTTTTTTTTTGAAGTAGAAGGAAAGAAGAAGCTTCCGATCTCCAAATCAGTCTAAATATTGGACTGAGCTGAGTTCAGAAACCAATAGATTCTTCTCATCCTACTTATGGCTGCTCATGGTAGACAAACCATTTGTCTAGAATTCTTCAGTTCAACTTTTTTTAGCTTCTATTGACTGTGCTACATTGGCCATATATTGTCGCTAGGATGAGAGTAATGTAAGAAACAGAGACAGCAACTATCGTTAACTCTGAAAACACTAGTCCTACCATCTTCTTTAGAACACCTTTACTAGCATAATGGAAGATGACAAATACTTTCAGTGAGGAAAAAAATGTGAGAAAAAAAATAAATTTGCAAGGCTGAGAACACTGATTTTACATACCTTTCAGAATTGTTTTATTCAGCTGGACCACTAACAATGGGAATTATTTTTTGGATTATAAATTTATAATCTTAACATTTCTTAGGTTTATTTTAAAAATGACTTTCAATTTTTGTTTGGCTTAGCTTTTGTCTAGCTCTGATGCAAGAACAAGTATTACTTACCCAGATCTCCATACTGTTTCAAATCAAGCCAGTTCATCTAAATACAGACAGAAGGTGCGTGGGGCCTATACTCTGAACATAAGCTTAGCTTTAGCTTTTGCATCAGGACATCGAGTTAAATTTCCATAGTATTTTGGTTGTATCTTTTAATCTACATTAGTTCATCTCTATTTTACTACCCTATTGGGGTATTTTTATGTGGGTTTTCTGGACTACTTGCAGACCCAATGCTACATCTTCCTAGCTTTGTTTCTTCTGTTTAATTGTATGCCCTCCATAAATCATCAGTTGAAAACACAGCCAGAAGTAACTTTCCATAAACAAGAAATTCTAATTGTTTTGATTTCAGGGTGATCATCAGTTGCTGCTTAACTACTTTTTCCTGAGTTGATTGAACCTCTACATACCTATGCGCTGGTTATAACTTCTTTACCAACATTTGTGAAGTGCTGACACTCGGAACACTTCTTCAGAAGTCTGTCAATAGGGAAAGCAAATGGCAGGTAACCCGCATAACAATAAGGGTCCGTAGATTAAAATAGCTACTTTAGAATTTGCTTCTCTGTCTTTGTATTGGTGCCTTTTTCCCAAACCTAAAACAAAAGTCAATGCAAATTGGGAAAGTTAAAACGAAAAGTTACTAGTAAAATCTGGTTTCATTAACTACAGTAAAGAGCAAAATCAGTGAAAATGAAAAGGTTGATTATTTCAAAATGATAATTTGTAAGCTTTCACTACTTTCTGAAAAGCTAAGTCAACATTCAAATGCACAAACCACAACATGAAAATAACTTGAGTAGAAACAGGACTTAGAAATCTGTCTTTTATACCCTTTTCCTTGAATTAGCTGTTCCAGAGCTAAGCAAGGGAGTACAGAGATTCCTATTTGATATAGATAATATTTTTTAAAAAACCTCAAACCCTCAAAAATCCAATAGAACATTATACTGTTGCAACTTTGTTAGACTGTACTGCAGAACATTGAAACTATTTAAATAGCTAAAGCTTAGGCAAAAATGTTACAAGGTCAAGCTTTATTAAATTACTGAGATGTCCCATATGTCTGAAAAACACATTTCAAGAGAAATATGTTTTGTATATATTTGCTGTAGCATTGGAAAGTATTTGAAAGTGATTTTTCGGTATCCCAGATAAAGTTGAAACTGACTTGAAGGAAGCCATCTTAAATAATGGCAATGATGATATAACTGGTTTTCATGTCTTGAGCTGAGATGTGCAAAACATATAAGCAGTATAAATAAAATGTTATTTGCTAGTTTTATGTTATCCGGCTTTCACTTAAGGCATGCTGTTTGCACCATTCTACTTTGAAGCTACTGGCATTTTTAAGAAGGTCAAAATGCTGCTTTAGTGCAGAGAGCAACTTTTTCTACGTAGGTAAAAAATTAAATACCTAACTACTCATGATATGACATCATCTTCATCTGGAATAAAATTTTCATTATAAATTGCTGTGCCTATCTGCTGATTTTCATTTCAATATGGTAACAGACTCAGTACTTAACTTCAATGATCACTAGTAGCAAATCTCTATTTTTATCTGTAAATTAGAAATCTTAAGTATGTGCTTTTCTTCCAGGCATCTGAATGTTATAATCTCGATCAGCAGCACAGAATGAAGACATACTTAGTTTGTGTGCATGATCCTGAAAAAAAGTAACAGAGAATCAGGTCAAAGCGCTGAAAGAGTAAACACTGCTTAAATCTGCATAGAAAGTAGGAAAATCCCAAAGAATAATGAAGTTTCAGGGGTACGCTAACTTAAACAACCCATTCTTTTTGGGGGGTGAAAGGATGTTCACTGTGCTGTTCTTAAGAAGCGATCTACAGAGATTTTGAACTCAGCTAATTTATATAGAGCTTTGACAGGCCTGTCAAGTAATACTTGAGCTGACATATATTTTCTGAGAATGTTAACTGACACTTAAATGAAAAGAAAGGTTGTCCAATTTATGCACATCTCAAATTTAAAATGACCTGAAAATAAGTATATTTGACATCAAGATGCAAAAGTTATATACTGCAAAGGAAAACATGCACCTTACTTGTGGTCTGATGATGGATGACAGGAGTTAAATTAGATTTGCAGAACCACGCATGTTTGAGAGTAGAATTTCCTGCTAAACCTGAACATTGAAGCTTCTACTTTTCATCTTTGAGAGAAGACGACAGAATGACCTTCCCAATCTAATGTCCCTGTCCACTGCAAATGAAAAGAAAATGGAGTCAGTTCAAGCATAACATGGTAATTTGGTGGGGAGGAAAGGAGAGCACTACTAGAAAATTTCCTCAGAGCATAATGTGGCATAGCTTCTGTCTGGAGTGAACACTGGTATAATTAAGTCCATGTTGTCTGACAGGTAATGAGTGTGTGTTGGTCATGTGAGAGAGCATCTAAGGTGTGATGCAGAGAGGGAACAGAAAGTAAGAAATTTATATATACACAACAAGTGGGGAATTACAGGCACTTACTACATCAATCCAAAAATTCTTAATGAAAAAACACTCAATAATCAGGGCCAGTAGAGATGATTTATTAAGTTTATTACCTGAGGCCAAGGCTTATTTCAAGACGAAAAAAGAATTTATTTGCTTCTTCTCCTCTCTACTTCTCATGTTAGAGTGTATCAGTTACAGCAGTTAACAGGATGTACACTTATGTGACTCAAATCTCTCAGTCCAGTTAACAAAAGACAAAATTATTTCTAGTCTTAGCCCAGCAGAAACACTTCCCCCTTATGCTGCCAATTATTTCAACTTCAATTGTTGCTATCTACAGTCACTGTGAACTACTCTTTCCTTACTTTTTCTCTCTCTCCCCTCCCCAACAAGGCAAGGCTCACTGCTGGCCGCTTACCAGCTACACATTTATGTATTACATTTCTCACGGCTTTTATTTAGAATTTCTGTTCTACCAATATTCAAACTTTGGCTAAAATTCAAAACCTTATGCTTCTCAGCCCCATTTTACCAATCTCTCAACACTAAAAGCACTCCAGTTTAAATTATCATTGTGAATGCCACCGAGTTATTTAAGTTGCTGTTTCCATCACTGTAACATCAATTACAAATCTTCAGGTTTCCATATCCAGTTGGCTGAAATCCCTAAACACTATGCCTTTTTCCTGATCAATTGAACTTTACTGATTCCACAAGTGTGAACGCCATCAATTTTCTGACTCTCATCTCCAGCCTTCCTCACTCCTTTCCTCAAAGGAAAATTCATCAGCAAAAACAGCACAAGTCCTGCCACCTGTACACCTTTGCATCAGTTCTTCAAAACAACATAAACAGCCTACTTTCCTCAGAATCAGAATTCCCCATATCTCGTCATTTCTCCAGCCAGCCTTTGAAGCAAAACGTGAGGCGATGACTGAGAAACCCGAACTATCTGTCTCCCACTACCAAGACGAGCCAGTAACTTCTGATGACCTTGGGCTTTCCCAGCACGTGGAGCCCCTCGCTGTCTCAATCTCCACTTGCTCCTGTCATAGCCCCTTCCACTGTTCTCCCCAGATTCCTTGAAGCTTTCCCTGGCTTCCCTGTAGTTTTTCAAATTAGCTCATTTTTCAGAGCATTAGCAACATCAAAGCCCAAGGTGGCTTCACTGTGCAACAACACCGGGGGAAGGAGTGCTGCTTCTTGCCTTCCTCTGTGAGAGGTCCTACAGAAGCACGACCTAAGGAGATGCCGTCCTGCCTCTTGCTTCTTCTGGCCAGAGAAAGAAGAAAACGACCTGAAATTAGGAACTCCGGTGAAAGCAAAGCAATTTCGGATGCGCATCAGAAATCATTCGTACTTTTAAAAAAAAAGGCCTGACACGCTGTGTGTGCTCCTCCGGCCTCCTACCGGCGCT